CTAACGTTACTCTCCCAGGATCAGTAAACAGTCCTCCATAAAATGTGCTGCACACATCTGAATATTTGGGTTGAAGTGATCTGGAACAGTGTTGTAAATACAACTTAACCACTGATTTCTAGTTGTGTTCTCTTTTGGAAGGCCAAACAAAGTAGTTTCGTTTTCACTGTGAAACACACAGCGGCTAGTGCGGAACGGCCGGCGGGTTAGAGTGAGTGGAGGCGGGTGGGCTTGAGAACGGCGCGGCCGGTGGATTCAACGAAGGAGCGGTCGGTGGGCTTGTGGCAACCACATGTGACGACCCCGGGCTGGACTCCGCTTCGTCAACGGTGAAAGCTAATCTGGCGATTCACAGCGCGAAGTTTATGTATTTCCTCAGCGACCAGCACAGATCAGCTCTAGGCATGACGAAGTGGATATTGTCTTCTTTTGGAAGGCCAACCAAAGTAGTTTCGCTTTCACAACGAAGCACACAGCGCCTTCACGACATGGCAGCGGCGGCAACAACAATACTACAGCAGAATAAAAGTTACGCCTTCTTTCTTTGCGTGAACATTTGGGTGGTGTTGTGCAAATCTTCCCACATAGTGATGTAGATATGTGGGGGTGTGTTAGAACGAGCCGTTTTAGGAGGGCGTGGTTGACTCTTAACTTTTATAAAGAATAACTCTTTGGATTTGAGACTTTAGTCTTTGCAACTTTACAGATCTTCTTTATGCACCAAGAGCTTGTAACACTCCAAAGAGAAAGGAAAAATTTAAATCGTATCATATGACCCCTTTAAAAGGAATAGTTCACACATATAGTAAACTTTTAAAAATGTTTTACTTTAAACTGTTGCTTCTGGCCAAAATAGAACTCCATAATCCATTATAACACTTCCTCCAGTGAAAAAGTCCATTCCCTGTTGACTCTCACATCAAAATCAATGAACATATTTGTTTAGAACTGTTTTGGACTGTTATCATTTGTAACTACTTAATCTGTGCATATTTCTCTCCTGATTCAGACAAGGTGACTTTTTCACTGCAGATATAAATATTGTGGATAGAGGAAGCAATGGTTTGAAGTAAAAAAAATATAAACATAAGAAAAATGTTTCTTATAAACATGCAGGTTTTCACTTCACAAGATGTTAATTGATGGACTGGAGTGGTGTGGATTACTTGTTGATTATTGTGATGTTTTTATCAGTTGTTTGGTCTCTCATTCTGACGGCACCCATTCACTGCAGAGGATCCATTGGTGAGCAAATGATGTAATGCTAAATTTCCAAAACTGGGTGAGTAAATTCTAAAAATCTAAAAGATCTAAAAAATGATATTAAAAAGCTAATAAATAAATCACTTAAAATGACTGATTAAACTAAATAAAAGCATAACTAATTACATGACCCACTTTATACTGAGATGAATGCATTGGTCCCTGTCAGGGAGTGTGCATGTAGGGTTGTGTGTATGTGTGTATCTTATTACAACATGTCAGCCCACATCACACTCCAAAGTGGCACAAAGGTAAAGGAATGCTCAGCCGCCTGGGAAAATGTGTAGAAGCATGAAATTACCTGCATGCCAGTAGACCCCAGAGACAGACAGAGACAGACTGTTTGTCTCTTGTTTGAGGCAGGTTAAATGTAACGTAGATATTATTTAGCAAATTCAGATTGATGTACTGTATTAGACAGAAACTATGCAGCAGCTAACAGTTAAAATTCACAGTTTGGTAAAGACATCTAATAAAGTAATTTGGCTACTAATCTACAAGTATCGTTATTGTGTATGTAGTTGTTATTAATCTTTTAAATAGAACTCTTTATTCAGGTGTAGACCTGGCTGCCTACATGAATATCTCAAACATGACATGACATGTAGCTGTGCAAATGATTAAATGCATTTCTACTTTTTTAGAATAACAAAAACATCCTGTGTGGAGAAATATATAAGCATACAGACAACAATAATAGTTTTTTTATTTAATTTTATACTGACCCTTTCAAAAGTGTTCATGCTATAATGCTATAGTTGTCAACAAGTAACTGTCTTTATGAGATAGTCAAGGAATCATTCACTCAACCGATTCCTTTAAACACACTAATTCAATCAGGATTAGAACAAGTGACTGTTGTTGTGTCTGAAATAGAATACTTCCCTACTATATAGTATGCGAAAAACAGTATGCCAAAAGAGTAGCATGTCCGAATTCATTGTATTCGAAAAACAGTACGTGAAAAGCACCTGAATGGCCTAGTACTTCCACCCAGATGTGGAAGTGCGCAGCTGATGGGCACTTTAATATCCCATGAGGCCACGGGAGAGTATATTAATGTCAGTGAAGGGACACAACTGACGCTGGTAGGTTATGTGATAGTAACAACATGACAGAAGCAGTATGTTCAAATTTCATTCATACTACCCATTCATACTATATAAAACATAGTATTTTTTAATGGTCGTAAAGTACCGTAAGTTCAAATTCAACTGTAGTACCTACTCAGACAGTACGCGATTTCGGACACACCGTGTCTTTATGAGTAAGTCCCTAAATCATTCACTCAACAGATTTGATCAAACACACTGATTCAATCAGGATTGAAACAAGTGACTGTCTTTATGAGTCGTACATTATTGAATTATTCACTCAACTGATTCATTCAAACACATGTGATTCAATGAGGATCTAAACACAACTGCTGTTTTGCTCCGAGATGTGTAGATCTGTCTATCTATCTATCTATCAAATAATTGTATAGTTTTATAAAAATGCATAAAAATTATTTTATTTTTGTTTTACAAAATAAAAAATATAACTATTATATAATTTTATGAATGTTTAAAATAAAATAAAAACGTCAACACTCTTGTTTATATGAATGAAATAATTTATTTTAAGTAAATGATAAAAACAAAAAATTCTCATACTCACTCATGGGATAAAACCACACCGGGATGCCATCTGGAGTATGGATGGACATTACACACCTCTATTGGCTTCTCCTGCATGAGATAAGAGAGAGAGAGAGAGAGAGAGAGAGAGAGACAGAGAGAGAGAGAGAGAAAGCAATAGGGTGGGGTGTCCAGTATAAATGCAAGCCTGGCTTCAGTCATAAGCAAAAAGTCACATAGGCTGGATTTCTGGAGAGTGAGATCACATCCTCAATCACATCTCCAAACAGAGGAAGATCAGTAGAAACTCACACATTATGAGGAAACACTACAATGTGAATTAGACAGCACTTCAGTGAGTGTGTACATTCGCC